TCGCATGATGCTAAAATACGGCGAGTGAAATACTGCAGCCAGAACCCAAGTTGAAGTTACCTTAAGACGACGTGTTTACTTGGAGATACTCCGATACGATGAGGATAAGCAACTGCTAAAAGCGCTCACTGGTGATTAATTTATAGCAAGCTTAAGGTTTAAACTGACGGCGATATATCGTCCAGGAAACTGCACATCTTGCGGAGGAAGCTTGCGAACACTCCATCGACGAAGAAGGCGTAACACACCGTGACTTCCGTTGTAACGAGATGGGGAATTTCAATAACTGTCACAAGTAGGTCGGATGCAGCCCTGTTAGCTATGAGAAGCATAAGTTTTTCTTTCATTCTCACGTATGCGGTTATAAGAAGGAAATTTCCTATAGGCAATGCTAAGAGAGTGAGGATGAGTATCGCCATGGTAACTTCAATCGGAACTACCCTGATGATACACATTTCAGATGAAGGGTGTCGTTGCTGTTTCCGATTTTCTCACCTTCAAGAATGGACGTGTTTCGTCTTGAAGCCATCATTTCGGCGATGAGGAAATAAGAACTGGTGCTTGTTATCTCTGATCTCACATACGGTCAACTGCGCTTTTTTAACATCGCAACGCAATTAAATTTGAGTAAGTGCCCTTAAATTCATGGAGTGACGTTGTGCTAAGAGCTTGAAAATTTGTGTCTGTGTGATTTAGTTATTTTCGAGGAACTGAACCCATAATTCTTTTCAAGAAAATTTATTGTATGTTTTCGCCAACCGTTTCTCCTTTGTAAAAAGGTTTCTTTCAATGGTTATACATTCCCTTGAAATTAAATTAATTTTTCCGTTCGGCAAGGACGTAATAAATCACTGTCACTTTCTGTTAGGAATGAGATGATAGCTGATAGTCACAGCTGTCACCTTTTGTATGTAGGGCAAATATTTTAATTGTTGTTGTAAGGCTTATTTTGATAACAATACATTCATGAATCTGTGGAGAGCAGGAGGACAAAACTCCTTTAAACGA